GCGGCAGTCACAGGCGGCAGGGCCACAGGCAGCCATTCTCGCCCTTATGGGCAAACAGAAGGTTAATAAATCACCCGGCCCGGATACGGGCCACCCTGGAATCTGCGAAGGCGCTCAGATGTGAAATCGCGGCCATATTGTGGAAGTATGTGACATGGCTGTGAGACCAGCCTCTTCCGCAGAGGCCTGGAGAATGGCCACGATCCTGCGGGATCCGGGTGGAATTGGAGGAGCTGCAGGCATGGGTCCAGGTCAATTGCTAGAGAGCTTCATTGATGCTGAAACTGGTCCGCGGTCAGCAGGATGTTCCTGCCGAGAAAGGCTCGCTCGCCCTGGCGTCTGTCAGTGCACAGGGGGGCCATCCAGAAGGCCGTTGACAGAGTCCCTCGCCAGAGATGCCTGAACAAAGTCAGCGGCCGGGAGCAAGAGAAGCCCCCGGTGGGGCCGGCACGAAGCAGGGGGGGAGTCTCCCAGAACAGGGAATGGGGCCGGCACTTTGCGGCCTTTCCTGAATGCTCTGGGGTCGCCAGGGAGCCGTGCAGTGGCCGAGGCGCCTAAAAGCAAACCGGGCCGGGGAGGGTGCCGAGGGATCTCCCCAAGCCCAGGCGAGCGGCAGCAGCCTGGCAAATGCCGTTGCGGCGAGCGGGGGCCAAGTCCCGCGCCTTGGGCCAGGACTCCCCACCCCCAGGACGGGTGCCTGGGATGCGAGCGGGCAGGACGGGGTTGTGGAGGGCTGCCGGTTCGGGCGCCCTGACAAAGGCCAGCGCCATGCCTGGCATGATTCGGAGAGGGCTTGACAGTGGAAGAGCCAGTGAAGCCCCCATGCCCAGCTCTGGGGGCGGGACGCAAGGTGGGCCCCGGCTAGCCGGGAGAAGTGCAGAGAAGGGCTGCACTGCCCTGGGAAGAGGGGTCGCACCGGCTGGGCTGGGGCGGCTTGGCGTAAGAGCGGGGGGGGGGGACGGAGGCGTGCGGAGTGAGGCCAGCTGCCAGACTGTGGGGAGGAGGCTTCCCGCTCCGCAAGGGTCACCTTGGGAAGCGGATTGGTGGGGGATGCAGGATGGCTCGAGGGAAGGGCTCCGTGCACGAGGCAAGCTTGGCGTTCAGCCCCACGGAGGGACCAGTGGGGGGCCTTAAGCAGGGATCGGGGACCTGCTTGGAGGAGGTGCAGCTGTCCAGGGCTCCTGGTCCCGAGGGCGAGACCCGCCTCTGGCGTCGCAGGCAGGGCGCTGCAGGGCGGGGGGGGGGATGGCGCTCCTGTCCTGCTTGCGGGTTGCTGTGGGCGACTGGTTGCTGGCCAGAAAGCTGGACTGGGAAGGCCTCGCTCTGACCCAGTCCTGGGGCTCTCCGTGGGTTCAGGGGCCACAAAGGCTGGGCCTGCCTCTTTGCCAGCCCCTGGGCCGCTCTGGCTTCTCTGGCGTGAGGACTCTGCTTGCGGGGTGCGGGGGCACGTGGCTCATTGCGTGTGCTTCTGGGCCTGATGGGGCAGGAGCCTCTTTCTGCTCCAGGTAGCTGCCTGCACCTGCCCCCCCCCCGCATGCCCCTTCAGGTCCCCCGAGGGCTCGCTTGCTTCCCCATACGACTGCTCGGGGATCCCTCCAGAAAGGCATCGAGCTTGGTGGGAACTAACATGCGGTCCCATAATTCCATAGCAGTTGTGTGACCTGAGATGCGCGGAACCAGGTGGGACTCGGCGCGTCTCTGTTTCGGTTCCCCGGGTGCAGCAGGGGGACGGTGCCCGCAGGCTCGGCCGGTGGGCGAACGATGGCGCTGCTGCCGAACGCGCCAGGTGTTGCACGGGGCTGCGCCCTGTTTGCAGCAAATCTCGCGTGTTCACCGTGCGTTACGTGTGCAGCCCTGAGGGGCCCACGCTTGAATGTTCCATTAATGGCATGGAAGGAGGGTGAACAGCCTGCTGATCAACTTCGCAGACGACACTAAAACTGGAGCAGTGGCCACAACTGAGGAGCAGGTACTCCAGATCCAAAAGGATCTGGACAGACTATGGAAGTGGGCAGGAGACAACAAGATGGCGTTCAGTGTGGATGAGTGCCAGGTCTTGCACTTGAGGCATAGGAATAGCTGTCATAAGTACAGGTCAGGGGACAAGTGGCTGGAGAGCAGCACTTGTGAAAGGGACCTCGGGGTGCTGGTTGACTGCAGGCTAAACATGAGCCAGCAGTGCCGGAGGTCAGACTAGATGGCCTCGTAGGTCCCTTCTGACTCGCTCTGTTTCTATGTTTCTATGAATGTCTCTGTACTCTGGCCAGGAGGAAGGGCTGCTGCGGGGCCGCCCCCCCCCCCCCCCGCTCCCCGGCAGGGTAAACATGCCAGTCCTCCAAGGCTGCGGAAGCCAGCGCTCGTCGGCAGGGTGGGGGCCTGCGGCGGAGTTCCTGCTGCAGCTGTGGGCGGTGGGGAGGGGTCCTGCGCCCAGTCCATGTGCCCCTTGCCCAGTCACAGGAAGCGCCCTTCCACGTTTCTACAGTCTTTAAGAAAGGCACGGAAAGGGAACTTGCGGCTTCCCCACTGGCCTTGCAGCTGGGGCTGATGGGGGGCGGGCCAGGGCATCTGGAGAGACGTGCGGCGCCCACCCCAGTCCCGGGGACGGGGGCTTTGCTGGAGGCGGCCTCCTGGCCGCGCCCGGGCTGTGCTTGGCACCTGCTTGCCTGCCCCCGGGCTCTGCCCTGCGGGACGGAAGACGACACCTGCCGACACCCGATCCAGGTGGCCGGCCGTGGGGGGCCCAGCGGCTCAATAATTGAAGACCCGCACGGGAGGGTTGACGGAGCCAAGCGCGCGTCCGCATTGTGCCAGGCTGCCGACGGGCAGAGTCCCCCATGCCCCCCCCCCCCGCTGGCAACAGGCGCTGGGGGATCGGACCGGACAGTTAAGGGCACACCTGGGCAGGTGGGCCTGGGCTGGTACAAGTCCAGGCCCGGGATCAGCCAGAGCACCTTTGTGAAGACACGGTAAAACGGGGGCCCGAGCGTGTGCAGAGGGCATTCCCCCCGCATACCCCTGCGTCTCCAGGCAGGGTGGCCTTGCTGGGGAGCGCAGCTGCCAGTTCGGCTGCAGTCCGGCCTCCCGTCCGCCGGTCTGAGGCCCGCCTTCCCTGCTGCGCTCGGTGGGCAGGGGGCTGCCCCCAGCACTGCTGCCCTGCCCAAGCCGCGGGCCGTGCCCCCCCACCGCC